TTTGGGGCCCGACGTCCTTATTGGCACACTTGCACCACACGGCAGAGTGGCTATGATACCATTCTGTCACATCCTAGTCCCGGCTCCGCCGTAACACGATATTGTTCGCTTAGGAAGCCGGTCACTCCCTCACGATTTTGTTTCTGGGAACTCACACGAGAACTTCCCAATGGGTCACTCATCCTAAGAATTCTCTCGCCCGAACTCGCTTAACTTCGAAGTTCCAATAGAATCTGAAGCCAGTGAGTCCCAAAAAAGCCTTGTGCTATATGGAAGTGGGCATGTACATATAAGGCACATTACCCCCTCTCCATTGGTTGATGTGGGATGTTACAATCCACCTTCATTTGGGGCCCGACGTCCTCGTTGAGACACTCGCACCATACGGCAATATGGGATGTTACAATCCACCCTCCTTAGGGGCCCGACGTCCTCGTTGGCACACTCGCACCACACGGCAGAGTGACTCTGATACCATTATGTCACATCCCAGTCCCAGCTCCACCGTAGTACGATATTGTCCGCTTTGGGCCTCGGTCAATCCCTCACGATTTTGTTTCTGGGAACTCACACGAGAACTTCCCAATGGGTCACCCATCCTAGGAATTCTCTCGCCCAAACTCACTTAACTTTGGAGTTCCAATGGAATCTGAAGCCAGTGAGTCTCAAAAAGGCCTTGTGCTATATGGAGGTGGACATGTACATATAAGGCACATCACCCCCTCTCCGTTGGTCGATGTGGGATGTTACAAGTTGGATTATTTTGTTTTGTTTTTTTTACCTAAAATTGTCTTTGAGATTGATATAACTCCACACTTTGATCTCTAATATTTAGAATCAAAAGAAATTTTTCTTGAGTTTATTTATCGTCAATAATGTTGGTCTTTCCTTGAAAAAAGATCCGTTAAATAAAAAGAAAATGACAAAATACCCTCAACTTTTGTCAAATCATTTTGGCCCATGATTATTAAATTGAGGTTATTTCTATTATTTTGGTCCTTATTATCAGAGATTTTTACGGAACGAACAAAATGATTGACGGTGAACAAACTCAGGAACCGCTTTTATCGATTTCAAATCTCATGAACCAAATGAGGAGTTATGTCAATCTCAATTACGATTTTGGCTAAAATGCTGACCATTTTAGTACAATATCTGTTGTTTAAATAGAATTGAATGCCACTCAGCATACAATGTTACGATGTTTCAAACTATAATTTTCATTGTAATATTATTAGATGGAATTCTCTTGGACAACGAGTTCATATTTTGTCACTTAGCTAAAATCTCCTACTTTTTAGCGTAAATACATTATTATATAAAATAAAATAAAAAAATTGCTCCTCAACTCCCGAATTGTTTGGACTTACTGAATAAAACATACCTCTCAACTTCTATAAATAAGTAATCTCACTCTCGTACGTCGATCACATTATATTTCACATTGCTCCATATCTGAAAAAAAAAATCGATTTCGATCAAAAAGCTTTAGACATGGTTGTCAAATCGAAGCAGGATCTAAAGACAGTTGGCGTTGCAGTTGAAGTCCTGTGGAAAGCTATGGCTTTGGATGCAGTTACTGTCATACCAAAGGTAATGTCTAGTATAGTCCGCAGTATTGATGTGATTGAAGTGAATGCAGAAAACCAACACCAACGAACTGTGATTCTTCTCTGTCAGATTGTAGTTTACTCGAAACTAAGAATAGGGCTTAGTTTTGATATGAGTGATAATCTATGAGAGCATAAATCAACACACATATATATATATATATATATATATATATATATTATATATATATATATATATATAGGAATTGCTTAAGGGGAGGGATCCCCATTTTTTCAAAAAAATGGGGATACGCTCCCCACTGTTAGATTTGACTTTAATGAAATCATGTGGTTGAGATTCTGTGGCCTGTGTTTTAATCTCAACCACACAATTTCATTAAAGTCAATCTAACGGTGGGGAGCGTGTCCCCATTTTTTTTAAAAAAATGGGGATCCCTCCCCTTAAGCTCCCTGTATATATATATATATATATATATATAACCATTCTCATGTTATAATAATGATTCCCTATTAGAATCCATATAGGAAACTGCTTCTATTTCCTATATCAGTGTTAACATGAAACTAACTCCTTAATCGACAAGGAATAGCTCATCAACTCTTATAAGGTTTTTCTTATACCAATTGGACTCTAATACCAACTCCAAAACATCCTGCCTCATGTTCATATTCTTACATTCTCCCACTTGAACATGAAACCTATGTTAGACATGATATCACCAATCTTAAGAAGTGATCACATAAACTTAATCAAGAATTAATCATCATGACCAATGCTCCTCTACATTTCAAAATACCAAAACCAAGAATTATAAACCACACAACAAAATTGCAGTATTAATTCAAAGTTCACATGTACCCAATTTGCAAATATAACTCATGATCAAACACTAAATTGATCCCACTTTTCAAAAGATCCATGAATCACAAAAGAGAGCAAATCAGCCAATACTAATTAAAAGAACAATTCATAATGATCAGCTTTAAACAGACAGATTGTTTACAAAGTAACAGAAGAATCCAATCGTAAAATTCAAACTATCTTGCGAAGCTGCAAAACTTCACAATTGAAGTATTGAGCTCGAACACACAAACATTTATTGAAACACAAAATAAACTACCAAGGCTAGCTAAAAACAGAAAACAATTTAACCTAAACACCATTCTAATTGCATCAGGAATTCTAGAACTTTTAATCCTTGCAGCAGCAATTCTCAGCTCTTGATAAGATAAGTGACTACTCCCACTGATCAAAGCTTTCAAGCAACCCCATACGAGCAACATGTAACTTAAACTCTCCAATAGGTAAAGCTTTAGTTAAAGGATCAGCCAGCATCTGAGTTGTACTAATATGTTGTACCTCAATCAGTCCCTTCTTAACCTGTTCTTGGACTTTGAGAAATTTTACATACATGAGCCTAGAAGTTGAAGTTCTTCTATTATTCTTTGCAAAGAACACATCTGAGTTATTATCACAATACATTCTCACAAGTTTTTTGTACCGAATTTATGATCTTTAAGTCTGACATAAAATTTCTCAACCAAGCAGCTTGCTTCATTCCTTCAAAACAAGCCACAAACTCAGCCTCTATAGTCAAAGTGACAATAACAGTTTGCTTTGCACTCTTCCAAGAAACTGCACCTCCATTTAGCATGAAGATATAACCACCTGTTAACTTCCTATTATCCACATCACCAGCCAAATCTGAATCTATATACCCTTCAATTTCCAAAGAATCACATCTGCCATAAACCAACATGAAACTTTTAGTCCTTTGCAAATATCTTAGAACTTTCTTTGCAGTTATCCAATGTGCATCTCCTAGATTTGCTTGAAACCTTCCCAGCATGCCTACAATATAAGCAATATTTGGCCGATGTGTACAAATTGTTGCATACATGAGGCTTCCCACCAGAGAAGCATAAGGTTTAGATTGCATTTTCTCAATCTCCAAATTAGTCTTTGGACATTAACTCCTTGAAAACTTATCTCCCTTGTTGACTGGAACTTGACCACAGTTACAACTTTCCATATTAAATCGAAGCAACACTCTGTCGATGTAACCCTTTTGTGATAAACCAAGCAATCTCCTAGATCCTTCATATCAAAACTCTCACTTAGCATCCTTTTAGTACTTTGTAACAATTGAGGACAAGAACTTGCTAGAAGGATATCATCAACATAAAGCACCAAAAGGATAAATTGTGTACCAAAAAACTTAATGTAAATGCAATCATCCAATTAGTTTTCTTTAAAACCCTGAGAAGAAACAATCTGATCAAATTTCAAATACCATTGTCTAGAAGCTTGCTTCAACCCATATATGGACTTATTGAACCATATATTCCTAAACCCTTTCAACAAATCCAGTAGGTTGCTTCATGTAAATACACTCTGCTAAGAATCGATTAAGAAAAGCAGTTTTCACATCCATTTGGTGCAACTCCAAATCAAAATAAGCAACCAAAGACATGACAACTCTCATTGAATCCTTAGAAGACACTGGAGAAAAAGTATCATTATAATCAATACCTTCTCTCTGAGTAAAACCCTTTGCAACTAACCGGGTTTTATACCTCTCAATTCGACCAAGAGCATCTCTTTTGGTTTTATACACCCACTTGCAACCTATAGGTTTAATTTGAGAACTAGACTCCACAAGTGTCCAAACATTGTTTTTGAACATTGAATCTAGCTCTTCCTTCATTGCATTCTGCCGTAAAGTCAATTGAGAACTTTCCATGGCCTGAGTGTATGAAAGGGGATCATCAACATCACCAATATCAAATTATGTTTCTTGTAAATATACATTGGTAGCTGTTCTTACCCAATCCTCCTATTATTCGCTGTGATAACATGTCAGCCATTGTCTTGAGTGCCAATCCTATGTTCCATTCTCGAATTAAGCACCTAGACACTACTATCACTTTGTCAAAGAGAGAGTCCAAGAAGGAGACTTGGAAGTCAGTTACATTCCCACTAAAGATCAATCAGCTGATGTGGCTTTATCTGTTAGTTAGGATATTAGCTAACAGTATTAGCTGATGTGGCAATCTGTTAGAGTGGTTATAACTACTTTCTTAGAGTGTAAGAAAGCTCACTTAGCAATATAAACTGTGTAAGAGAACAGTGTAATTGAGTTGTTAGAAATATAACAAGCTTTCATAATTTTCTTTCTTTCTTTTCATCTGAGTTCATCTTTCTTTTGAGTTGCAATTCTTTAGCTTACTGCTCTAGTGTTATCAGGCTTTGGGTATAAAAGCGTGGTGGAATGTTACAATTCCAATATCTTGCGATGAAATTATTGTAATGCTACATTAGGTTGATGCTAATGCTAGTAGCAGGATTAAAAGGATAAAAGACACTTTCATCCAGCTTGGGCGCAAGGTTTGTAAAGTGCATCGTCAAATGTTAGGAGTGCAAGAAGATTGGCATTACAGATATTATCAGCATTATGTGTATTAATTAACATATGAGTTGATACACAAGTTTAAATTATCATCTGAGAAGTTAATATCTTCACTTATTCCATGAGCTTGTAATAATATCAATTACTTCCTGCAAACTATTCCATTCCCACCGAAGGAATTACCAGTGCAGTCAAGATTTCCGTGATCCATCACCCTTAAATCTGTTTGATCCATCTTCCCGGATTTAGTGAAAACACAAGCAGCGCAATCTGCGGAGACAAGTGATGTTGTTCTGTACTTGTTTTCCCCTCCCACAACTGGCATAGCTACTCCTGGCTTTGCCGGGTTCTTGAAATCTGGCTGGTAAGTCCTTCCAAGCACTCCCTCAACGTTTGAGGATAAGCCATAGAATCTGAACTGTACTTCCAGATGTGCAAAACAGTCATCTGATGGTATCCGATAATTGTGGATCCTATCATCTTCCTTTGTCACAGGCACCACATTTACTGAAATTTCAGCAACTTCCGGGAGAGTGACCAAAACACTGTTCTTGCTCGATGTTCTCTCTACTCTAATGGCATTTTCCGGAGATTGCCACACGGAGAGCTGAGACTCTGGGATGATTAGCTCCTCTCCATTGTAAATAAATTTCAAGTGGTCGATTTGATTATCCCATGCCGATGCTTGGCTGGCCTCTAGGGAGAAGCTGTTAGAGTCAAAGAGGAGTCCAAGGGCCTGAATCCAAGTGTAGTCCCTGGTTCTGCCTTCAGGGCGAAGACCGATGAACCGGGCGTTGATTTGGAGGTTGGGGTCAGAAACTAAGCTGAAATACTCATTTTTCTTGCCGTGGAAGTAAAAGACAATGCCATCTCCACCGATGAAGCGAGGGTCCATGCATGCTGATCCGGGGCCTTCACAATTAGGCTTGCGACCTACGGTTACCAGCAACAACAAAGAAAAACCCTTGTCAGCAATAATTTTAACGTAGGTATGTAAACACATTAAAGTAGTAGGCTTACCTTTGCACTCAGCTTTGCATATAGGTGAGTCACAGTTCAGATAACATATTTTAGCGGTTTTGTCTGTCGGTGAAGAGGATGGACATTCCTTCGGGCAGTATACCTGCTTGAGAAAGCACGGGCTTTTCTTGCTGTAGCAAACCTTAAGATCTGTCTTACATTGTACCAGAACAGCAGCGGATACTAGGATTACCAGAACGATCAAAACACGTTTGCTGCCTAAGGACTCCATTGCTTCTTTTCTTTGTCCTTCAACTCACCAATGAAATGTTGATATATATTGCCAGCTTAACTTCTCCTTTTCTGGTTGATCTTGTTATATAATTACAGAATCTATCAAGTGGGAGTTTACTATTATTTTTTAGTATTATAAATTCTAAAGTTTAGTGATATGAACGTGGTTCCCTTCAATGCTTTGCGGAATTGTTAATCTTGGTCAATGCTTTGGGGTTGGTGATTGTGAATTAGAGAAACAGCTATTGACTTTACGAGTTTTTTTGTTCTTTTACCTTTTGTTTTCGGATCTGGTTATATATGAATTTTTGGTGAAGTTTGCCCCAATGCTAGTCAAAAGAACGGTGCAAAGAATCTCATGTAAAAAGAGTACAATAATAACTTAATTACAATTGAAAAGTTAATAATTCATTAGGGTATGGGACCTAATTGTTGATACAATATCAATCTTGATTTAAATGTAGTAGTGGACTCTTGAGAACCCGTCACACAAGAAGTTTTTTTTCGTGAATCAATGTCAACTGGAAAAGGTCTCTCACGATAATGACACGGTTTGGTTCATAATATACATATTTTTGCACCCGATAAAATGGCCGTGAATACTGCATTGTCTGCCTCTAGCTTATTTGTTTATTTGTTAATTGCTAGTACTTTCGGTGTACAACCATCAATGGAGTTATATATATTCTTGCAACGTGCCCGATTGGCCAATTTCACACTATAGAATATGATTTGTTCGTGAAGTCAAGCACACGACATGCACTCAACTGAATGCTACTTTGTATGGGTTTAAAATTAAATCAAGGGACAAGTAGGCATATGCTGAACCTGGTAAACAGTTCATGCATCAAAATTAACAAACTTTTGTGTACTTAATAGGAGAATATTGTGATGTCTCCTGGTAGTTGCTAATGTATTGAGAGTACATGGAGAACAAGTCGTGATAGATTATAGAATGTTGATAAAATTCCAAGAAGTGTGTCTAGAAAAACGGAAAATTTCCCTCCACTTAATAGGAGAATATTGTGTACTTTTGTGTACTTAATAGAAGAATATTGTGATGTCTCCTGGTAGTTGCTAATGTATTGACACTTGAAAAATAAAACTTCTCTCCACTTGTATAATGACATGTGTTGTACATTATTCCATGTTCCGGGTACATCGTAAAATTTATCGCTTTTAGGTTAGTTTAAGGGATAACGGCGTGAAAAAAAGTGTTAGCATTAAACTTAGGTCAAGAATAACCAAAGTCAAATGAAGGAAACCTTCCCTCGGGCTATCGATCGAGCCAGTGTCAATAGTGTGTGTGCTACAATGGGATTGGATATGAAAGCGTGGCAGAATGTTACAATTCCTATGTCACACATTGAAAACCATTTTTGTAAGAGCCAGTTATGCAAATGTATTCAACTGAAACAAATTTATTCGACTTCTTTGTAATGACTTTTGAGATAGACGATGATGCGAAGACCGTTTCTTGATCATTATATTGTTGAAGTTCTTGCAATGCTACATGATAGTGATGATACTGACGTTGCTAGTAGCTGGAAATCAAGGACAGCGACCTTCATCCAGCTTAGACGCAAGGATTTGAAAGCTCATTGTTAAATAAATGCTATGACAACCAAATGAAAGAAGGGTTATGTGATGATTTGTGTGTCGTACGCGTAGTACACAGTCACAAGGAGGGGAGCTATTTTAGGTGCTTTGCTGTTAGCACTGACTATAAGTCTTGTTGAATTGTGGCCAAGTGGCCAACTCAGCATTACCTTTCGGCTATTAAACAAAGTAAAAGAAAAAGGGCTAAATTACTAGATATCTTTTGGCTAATAAAAAAAGGAAAAAAGGAGACATCAATTATGTTGTTCCTTGCTTTGTGATGATGGCAATTATGATGTTGGAGAAAATTTGTTTTTTTTATTTGGCCTAAGAAAAGCCACGGCTGAGGGTTTTAATGAGAAGCAATTGCTGCTTTTGATTAAGGGTTGTAAGGCAGCCATAGAGCAGAAAAACGCAGCAAAAAATAGAGAGCAAAAAAAACAGAGGTGCTGCATCCCCATTTTGAAGAGAAGAAAGAAAGGTGATTTTCTTTCTTTGTTGGTACTCACTCAATCAAAGTTGTATATGTGTATTAGCTTTGAGTTTTGTATAGAGAGGAAATTATGCACTATATTTCCCTCTCTATTTGTTTCTTTGGTGAGTGAGAGTTATTGGGTGTATTGGGATTTTGGGTTGTGAGATTGCCAACACTTTGTAAACTCTCATTTGGTTGATAGTAGATTATTGGGTGAGCTCCTACTGCTCCGAGGACGTACTCCAGTTACACTAACTGTTGAGGAACCTCGTTAAAATCTTGGTGTCTTTAATATTTTATTCTTGCATTTCATTTGATATATTTCCTGTGGGTTATCAAGAGTTTGTTCCATAGAGGTTTGGTCCTATCCCAGCACAACAAGTCTATCATTATTAAAGTGATTTAAGTGTTGGTTCATCCATCACATCACATGTTATGGACGAGGTTCTCATAGAGATTTGTCAACAGTGTTGTGAAAGAAAAACAAAAGATTTACAAGGTGTTGGACCTACGGTTTTTATTAAGCCCATGGTTAGTTTTAGGCTCACATAGGTGAATTCAGGATGAAGTCTGCTGCTCATCACTACAACGATCACTCGCGCTTGGACTAGTGACAGCTCGAGTGATGTTGCTAGTATTCCTGACAATGTTTACGCAGATATAATTGGATCGTTTGTTTGTTTGTTATTGCAGTTGGTATATTTGAATCTCGTTTGTTTAGTGATGAAGAACATTCATATGCTTTCTTTCCATACTCCCAAGATTTGTCTACTGAATCTGCTGCTTGTTTGTTATCTGACATTGTTGTTTGCCATTGATTGTTGTCCATTTGTCCGCCGTATGGAATCATCTTGCACACTTGCTGGTTGCTGTAGACTGATTACTTGTTTGCTCGCTAGAATTGCTTGATTGGTTGTTGTTCGTGTTCTCTTTCCACCTAACGGAATCCGCACGTATTTGCCGGTTGATTTTATTGTTGGCAAACTCATGATCACCATGAGTTTGACGAGGAGGTGTTGGAAATTTTAATTACTTAGCCTGTAGGTTTAATAATTTAAGGATATTTGTATTTAGGTTTTTCTTGTAAGTTAAGGTTTTGGATTCGTTGCCTATTAGAGTAGGGTTAGTTCTGTATGAATATGATAGCTGTAATTTAATTATGGTAATAAGTCTGACGAGATGTAATTTTCTCAAGTTATGTAGCATTCTTAGTGATTCTGTAGTATTTCTTTGTTTTTAGTTAAATTAAAAAATTTGACGGCATTATTGCTAAAATATTGATCACATATCAATTAGCATCTGTATTCACCATGCAAGGAATATATAACATTAAAAGGAAATGTATTCAATGATGCACCTAACCACTGATATATATGTATGAAGACTACTCAAAGATGAGTAGGAACTTCTACTCAAAATTTCTCAAAATTGTTCATTGTCAATTTACAGAACTTCGTGTTTATAATCAGAATCGTTGATATTATAAATCACCCTATAAAGATCGGCTCTGCAAAAAATAAATTAAAATTAAGGTCGTTTAGTCATCAAACTATTTAAAAACAAATGAACAGTATTGGTAAAAGCATTATGGACCGTCTATGTATTTGTTACAATAGATTGACTAAACGACCTTAGTTTTAATTTATTTTTTGCAGAGATGATCTTTATAGTGTGATTCATAGTATGAACGGTTTTGATCATAAGCACAAAGCTCTGTGATTAAAACACTAAGAGTTTTAAGTAGGAGCTCCTACTCATCTTTGAGTAGCCAAGTATTGTTCTATATGTATATGAAATGAATTTTTCACAATATTTATAGCAAATTTGAAACTTTGCAAACGACAAGATCAAGAAAATTAATACAATCAATTTAGACAAGAAAATAATTTCGTCCCATAATACATATTTTCTTGTGAATCCAACAATATATTTTTTTCTCACCCGTTATTGTTTACTAGCTTTTGTGCACGCGCTTTGCAAAAAGCCTTTTTAACATCACGGCGCGCTACGCGCGGCATTTAGGGTTTTTTTCCTTTCACATCTATGCATACGTAAGGACATCTTTACTACAAAAACAATTCATACGTATTCTTCATGTCTTGCTCGTGCGAAAGTCCTTTTTTATATCACACGCGCTACGCGTGACATACAGAGTTTCTTGCTCAAAATCCCTCTATCTTTTACTTTAGATTAATACATAATGTGTAATTTATCTATTGATTTATTCCTTTGTTTGGCTTTTATTTATTACTGGCGCTGCGTGACCCTAAAATCTTTTAAATATTCGATGTTTATTTGTAATCTAGCTCTAAGTCCCTCTATTTTTACTTTAGATGAATCCATAATGTGAAATTTCTCTATTGATTTCTTCTTTTATTTTCTACTGGTAGCAATTTTTCACATTTATCTTCCTCTCGTATTATATTCTACACGTAAAAGCATAATTAAGATTATTAAAAAAAAATGGTAGAACGCCAGTCATAGGTCTCTTATGCCTATTAAAACTAACGATGATACAAACCAAATCATATAGCCTGTAAATAAAAGGAAAAACCACCCCAATTGAATACATAGAACAACAAAATTACATGAAAAAGCTAGCCAATAAAAAATAACATACATCAACCAACGAAGAAAAGCTCACATTGTTTGCAATAAAAGTCCTCGAGATGCTTTGGTGCATTCCGTATCCTTTTTTGCTGCTTCAAATCCTTGGTGATTAATACTATGTTTGGATGAAGAAATTTAAAATTATTAAAGAAATTTAAAATGATGGAAATTGAAATGACGGGATTTTATTTTTTAGAATTTGTGAATTTTCTTGTTTGGTTAACCTAAAGAACAATGGAATTGAATACGGAATTTGTTATTTTTAAACTCTCAATCATAGAAATTGGAAAATGACACATATTTTCATGAAATTTAAACTAGGGAATTGGAGGTCCCAAATTCCAAGTTTTATTTTTCACGCGGAAATTCTAAATTTCTATGTTTACAAACAAAGAAATTGGTGTATGTCAATTTATATATTCTGACTTTTACCAAATTCCAAGTTTATTTCCCTTATCCAAACATAGTGTAATGGTTCCTCATGAAACTACAAATTCTTTTTTGCTGCTTCACATTGTTTGCAATCAAACTACAAATTCTTTTCAAATATAATTACATACGTTAGTCTATTCAAGAATTGCTTCGTGCTTCATGGTTTGTTTTTCGTGCTTCTACCCCAATGCATCTAGCCGTCCAGATGCTTGAAACAAAACCCTACAAAATAAAATACATTAACCGTCCAATTGCTTGAAACAAAACCCTACAAAGAACTCCGATTCAGGGCCTCCCCAACGGGAGACATTTGAATCCATTTTTGAATATGTGAAGGAGGAAAATGAAATCGGTAAAGAAATTACACATTATGGATTAAAACTTTGTGATAATTCTGGGAGAGCGATGAATTTCCTTTTAATCTGGTTGGCAGTTTGCATTACATAATATCATCTAATTCAATAAATTTGTCTATATTAAAAAAAATTAAAACATAGGTAAAATTTAGGAAGAAACGTACAATTAATCCAAATGGAAGCAAAACTTTGATAAACAAAGTAAGACAAATATAAAAAGCTACCTGTTAAATCCGCTAATCAAGCAAGAATATGCCGCTTCGCCTATCTCTTCCTCCACTTTTCGCAAGTTAGGTCGTGCTCGTCTTCATTAACCTTTCCACCCGCTTCCTGCAATATGTTTGTATCTGTTTCAAAATCAAAATGCAAGATATAAGAGAAAAGGTAAATAAAAAAATGGATTAACAAAATGGATCAACTCCCTAGTAAACCGCAAGATAAAAGGGGAAAAGAAATCAAACACTAAGAAGACAAAAGAGAAGAAAAAAAAAGTTAAAAACAGAATACAAAATACCTGAGAGACTGAGACAACTTTGTTTATGAGTGGTGGAGAAAGAGAGAAACCAAATGGTAACGACTCATATCAGTTTCAAAAATGACACCACGTCCATCTTCTCCTTCGTCATAAATCTGCAAGCATAACTACCCACTTTAGGGGCGACTGGGAGAACCAAAACAAAAATAAAAATAAATTATTAACTTTTGGATTTAGAAGTAAACTTAAAATTAAGAAAAAAACCAATACAAATTAAACGAAACCGTGATTAAGAAAAGAAAATTAAGGAATCTCCTAGCCGCCCATTGTAGAACAATCTTGTTGTAAATTCGTGACATAGCCAGCAAGGTTCTTGACAAAACCCGGAAGACAAAACTTAAATTAAATCAAAATTAAGTGAACAACACAACACATTAAATAATTTAAATTAGGGTAGGGTTAGAATTGAAAGGGAGGAAGAAGGATCGGAGGTGGAGGTGGAGGTTGTTGTGCGGAAGCGTCAAATATGAAACCAATAAACTACAACGGCAAAATATGACAAGACAAATAATCCAAAAGACACAAGGATTTATACTGGTTCGGCGTAAGCCTACGTCTAGTTCCGAGACGGCGAGGAAATTCCACTAATATCAAAAGGAGATTACAAATAGAGTTTTAACTCTCAAACCCAAATCTCACATACACCCAATAGCTCTCACTCTCACAAAGAACAAATGGAGAAGATGGAAACACATATACCAAATTCCTTCTCTCCCAAAAGCCACAAAATGTAGCACAAATATCTTTGATTGAGTGATTACTAACAAAAGGGGATTACAAACAAAATGGAAGGATAGATAACAGCAACCCTTCTCTTTCTTCTCTCTAATCTGCCGTTCCCACTCTCTCTTTTCCAAAGGCATAACCAAATGCCTTAATATAAACAAAAGGCCACCTTTCTTTGCTTTTGTAAAAGCCACAAATCAATGACTAGACATCATAATGATGTCCTCCTTTTCCTTATTCTATTTTATTAGCCGAAAGGTATTTTGGCGTGTTGTCCACTTGGTCACAAATCCAACAGAGGTGGCGGTGGATCGGCGGGAGCGGAGGTCGGCTTACGGTTTAGTTGCAGACAAATATGGGAGCGAGATCTGCTAAACAACAAATTTGATTCAAAGTGGAGAGTTTAAAACTGCCGGCAACTGCAAACAGTTTTTTCTACCCCTCTTTTCCCATGTTGGTTTTTTATTATCTCTCTTCTAAAACTAAAATGGAGGAGGAGTTTGATCAGCATGTTCCCCTATTTTTTTCTTTATTATCTTTTATTAACAAACTTTAATTTTTCTAACAAAATTGCCCTTGCGCTTTTATATGTATCAAATTCTATCAATTTTAGATTTTTTTTTTAGAGGTGTTTTAGTCTAAATATTTTTGATGAATCCTTGAGACACCAAAGTAGTTTGTTTTTTAATTTTCCTATTTTTCCATTCTCTCCAATTAACGAAGCACGAACATACAAGATAAAAAAAAATGATGTAAATCCTAACTGCACCCATATGCTGCCAAATGCCAACGACCATAATTAAGGACATCAGAGAATTCAAATAAGTCGAATATGAGTATATATATAAACTTGGCAATATCATAACATTTGTGGTACAATCATCACAATATTATAACATTTACATGGTACAATAATTGCAATATCTAATCTAACCCCCCGAATGTTTATGTTTGATATTAGTGAAATCATTCACTAAGAAGTTGGACCGTTTTCATACAATATGTATAGTTTAGCTTGAACTGAATGCCAACGAAAGTTGGTTAAGTTGGTAATAATCGTTCTCTTTGTTAAATCAAGTCTAGATTTGAGTCATGCTGCCAGCAATCCCTCTTGATGAGCAATCTGTAAAAACTACAAGTGCTAAGAACCCCTTTGTAAGTCTGGCTTGTGTTAATGCTCTGGCACTGAGATGGGGTAGGCTTCCCTCCCCCAAACTTTTTGTTACCATTACCAACAAAAAAAAAAACCACTCAACAAGTGTAGTGTTATTTCTCTCCACTTATACATTACAATATATATATTATATTTAGTTCTCTTGGACAACGAGTTGATATTGTATCACTTGGCTAAAATTCCCTGCTCTTTCGTGTAAATACATTATTGTATTAAAAATGAATAAAATTGCTCCTCAGCTCCTGAATTGTTTGGACTTATTGAATCAAATATGCCTCTCAACTCCTATAAATAAGTAATCTCACTCATTTACCTCGATCACATTATATTTCAAATCGCTCCATATCTGAAAAATTCCGGGTTCCATCGGAGAGCTTAGCCATGGTTGTCAAAACGAAACAAGATCAGATAACAGTTGGTGTTGCAGTTGAAGCCCTGTGGAAAGCTATGGCTTTGGATGCAGTTATTGTCATACCAAAGATAATGTCTAATATAGTCCGCAGTATTGATGTGATTGAAGGAGATGGTGGCCTTGGTTCCGTTCTGCTCTTCAACCTTGCCACTTGTGAGTACTCCAGTTTAATCACTTTCACTTTTATATATAATTGAGTGCAAAACCACAAATACATGATCCTACAGAATTTCTTATTGATGCATCTATTCAATCCTTTTATTCGTTAATAAACAAAAAATGTTATTCACACGCTCAGTTTGTTGTTGACACTCCGTCCATGAGTGCCCAATTAAATTGAACAGTCGCATATTGATTTTCAACTCTTTATGGCCTTGTGGCTAAGGAAAAGTTGGCGTATGTTTTTAAATTGACACCCTGATGTTATTGATTCGAAAAAAAATGTCAGATAGTGTAGAGTCCAATCGAGTACAGACGGAAAAGATTGTGGAACTTGATGAATCTCAGTATCGATATGCTTTACAAGTCGTGAAAGGCCCGGCGCTAACACTGCGCAATTTTTCGGCATTGACATCATTTTTCCAACTGAGGAAAATGGGAGAGCAGGAGACATTGGTTGATATGAAAGTGGAATACGAGACTGAAAAAGAAGAAGCTAATAGCGGCGAGATGCAATGCAGCCTGTAACTTCTTACATTCAACTTCTGGAGAAATATTTGTTAGAATCTTAATTACAATGTTATCATTATTGTGTTTTGCCAATTAATCCCAATTAATTGTGCTAGTGGTGATCTCTTGAGAAGTCCTCATGTTACATCCTCTCCTTTTCTTAAAAAAAAAAAAAAAAAAATTGTGTTAGCAATAAGGTTTTAATTTTGGACGATGAAAAATAATAGACAGTGGAAGTTTCTTGAATTATTGTGTTGTGCAACCTCACTGCTTCTGTTTATATAATAATTTCTTTTCACGGAATTTAAATTGAATCTTTTGATGGATATTAGCCACGGATTAAACCGTGTCCCGTATTCAGATTCCTAGTAGTTACTGGTGTATGGTGCCAGCATCCCTTAAATCAATAGTACAACTTAGCCGAGCTAACAGCTACAACTTAATCATAAAGAAAAAGAGTAATTAGAATCTCCTACATTTTTTTCAACTTATTTAGACAAAACATTTGTTTCTTTAGAAAATTTGATTAAAATGCTTTGCTAAGTTGCTAACTCAGCATTTTCTATTTATTTAACATTAATCCATTTAAGCCAGCTAACAACTAATTTCCTACAACCTAGGAATTGTAATTTGTGGCTTTATTAAAAATATTAATTTAACTAATTCCTCATTATCTAACTTTTTATTTATGTTATTAAATTTAATTCGTATTTTCCTTCATTAAGAAAAGTCATTAATACTTTCATAAGAAACTTTCATTAATTTGTTAAAATTTTACATATAGTTATTAAAAATATATATATTTAAAACTTATGGTAAATTTGTCATTTAGTACTACGGTATACTGGTATTCCTTTTCACTTGTAAATGAGAGAGGGAAATTTGAACCATATTATTGCTAGCCTATTATGAGGTTAAGTCCACCCCCCCCAGTGTAAATAATATCGTCAAAAAAATTATGGACAATCAAACGTACCTCTATCCAAATGTACCAATATTATAGGTAATCAAACGTACCTCTAATAAAAATGTACAAAAAAATGTTTAATCAAATTCTTAAAAGGAATAGATGTTAATCAACAAAATTGAAAAATGAGGCGCCTCTATCAAAACGCCCCTAAATTTTTTTGTCAGGGATGATTACAGAGTATCAAAGAAATGTAGAAGGCTAGGAACCAGAGTTGTAAGACTCTGAGAAAAGTTTTTATTTTTATTTTTTTATACCAGTGATACTGTAAAGTTTTAAGCTAATTTAAATTACGATAATAAATATTTGAACTTAGGCGCATATATATAGTGGTGGAGCCAGGATTTTCAAATAATAGAATCATAATTTCGACTAAAAAGATTTTTATTGGACCATTTCATCGAGCACCTAGTAGAAATATGTCGATTCTTGTCGACATCTATTAAAGGCTTATGACAACTACTATAACATGTAAGGGCTTGTCAAAGGTGGCTACAAGAAACTGCAATGTTGAAGATTGCTAAGGCTTGTCACCTGAGGCATTTCATCGAGCATTTGGTACACATAATAGAGTGGCACGTAATAGGAGAGAAAAGGAGGGATGACACAAAAACATAGAGAAGAAGTAGGAGGAAGTTATAATTTAGTTTGTCCTAGATATTAATCAAGTCAAATACAATACATATACAAATATAAGAACGTTTGAAGTTGTTGGGTCATGGACAAGACCTCATACTGCGCCACTGAATGCCTAATGAGGAGCGCATTCCATCTCGCCAATGTTGTTACATGGACACTAATTAACTTTGAGAAAACATTTTTTTATTTTTTTTTCCTTTTGTTGGAAACTTTGAGAAAACTTTGAATGCTCGACAAATGGAGGAAATTTCATCTCTTTTACTTCAAAGATACACAAAAGCATGCATACAAATTTCAAACTGAAAAGACCAGGAATCAAATGCATATTCAACCTTTCTTTATTTGTTGCTTACATAACCCATAAGAGTGTGTTTATTCAACCGGATTATTTTAAACTGGACTAGCTTTAGGGACTAAGTACTGGTTTGGTACTAAGGTGCTTCTATATAAAGTGGGTATAAAAAAAACTGAGCTCAAAAAGGTATTTGGTAAACACTTAAAAACAGCTTATTTTCACAGTTTTGGGGTGAAAAATAAAGCTGAAAACGTAAAGCAGCAAAAATGAGCTTATTCTCACAGCACAGCTGAAACATTTTTTTTTCAAAGCATAGCAATACCAAACCAACCCTGAGTTAGACTAGTTTGGCTTGAATTAAGTAATATAAAAATAGTGAAGCGTATGGTGCAGTGCTGGACTAAGTCACATACTATAATTTATTTTGCCTTTTACTTTAAAAAAAAAACGGAAATCTACCATCCACCATGATCACTTTTCTCTCACACAAATCGCAGCCACCACGATCACTTTTAGCAGTATGAAGATGATTGAAAAATTCATGGCTTTCGGGCAAGTCATACCTAGGTTGTAGAGAAACTAAAAATCAATATCCCAAATACAAATTTTGCTCCAAGACCAGGAAATTGACCAGCTCGTAAATTTGCAAGATTTCCTCCATGCTGGGTTGTGGCGACGAGGAAATTGACTAATCCGCTTGAGATTTTGGTCTGGATTAAAAATCCAACAAGGAAATTGACTAATTCGGTGACAGGATAAGGGGAGCATCTGATGTGCGATGGAGAAGGGAAGCAATTGTTGTTGCAAATATGTAAAGGAGAAAAACCATCAATTCAAGCATCAGGGAGTGAGCGATCTTGGTTATTGGATATCAAAGCAGGTTGATCCACGTGTGTAGCCCAACAGTCACACATGCTTACATAGTGGCGAGCTAGCAAGGGGTCATTGGTTGTACATTGTATTTGACCCTTATAAACAGCCAAGACAAACTAAATTACAATCTCCTCCTACTTCTTTTAATTTCTTCTATCATATTTGTCTTCGTTTTCTTTCTTCTTGTGTGCGACTCTATTGTGCACATCATGTGCTCGGTGAAATACCTTAGTTGAAAACTTTGGCAATCTTCAAGATTCTCCACAGTATCATGCATTCATCCTTGACAAGCCTCTACAAATAACAGTAGTCGACTATGTTGGCATAAACTTTCAGCATATGTAGACAGACAAGTGCCTACTAGGTGCTCGACGAAATGGCCCAATAAAGCTTTTTTGGTGGATATTATGACCTTATTATTTAAAAATTCTGACTACGCCACTGGCTCCACATCATCCAATTCATGTTGTCCACGTGTTTGGTTTAAAAATTTGTCTTACATGAGGGAGCGTATGAGGATATGAAGGTAAAAGAGTCATATATTGGTAAAAAGAGAAACCTTGCAATGGCTTATAAGAGGTTGGACTATTTTATATATTACCAATTTGTTTTATGGTGTAGCCTTTACATTTTTTATGAATATATTATTATAGACATCATGCTAACAGAAAGACAAAAAGATAAAAATGATGTAAATCCCGACTTGGTACAATAATTACAATATCATAACAGTTGTGGTACAATCATTACTCTATCGTAACATTTGAATGGTATAATCATTACAATATCATAACATCAGCATGGTACAATAATTGCAATATCATAGGCTAACCCTCCGAATGTTTATGTTTAATATTAGTGAAACCAATAGGATTCACTGAGCAGTTGGGACCATTTTCGTTCAATATCTGTAGTTTAGCTTGAACCAAATGTCATTTAGCATATTTCTTTCCAATTATAATTTTTTTACAATATCTTATTAAATTAAACTCTTATTGACGATAAGTTGATATTGATATTGTGTCACTTAGCCAAAATCTTCCGCTCTTTATTGTAAATACATTATTATATATAAAAAAAAATGAATGAAAGTTGCTCCTCATCTCTTGAATTGTTTGGACCTTTTTTTTTTTTTTTTTTTTGTCCAAACAAGGGGGAATTGTTTGGACTTGTTGAATAAACGATGCCTTTCAACTTTTATAAATAATTAGTCTTACCATGAGCCTCGATCACATTATATTTCAAATTGCTCCATATCTGAAAATTTCCGGGTTCGATCGGAGAGCTTAGCCATGGTTGTCAAAACGAAACAAGATCAGATAACAGTTGGCGTTGCAGTTGAAGCCCTGTGGAAAGCTATGGCTTTGGATGCAGTTACTGTCATACCAAAGATAATGTCTAGTGTCCGCGTATCGATGTGATTGAAGGAGATGGTGGCCTTGGTTCCGTTCTGCGCTTCAACCTTGCCACTTGTGAGTACTCCAGCTTAACACTTTTATATATAATTGAGTGCAAAACCACAAATACATGATCCTATAGAATTCCTTATTGATGCATCTATTCATTCCTTTTATTCGTTAATAACCGGAAATTGTCATTCGCACACTCAGTTTGAAATTGTGTTGGAGCAATATTAGAAAATATGAAAAATAACAGTATAATTCCAATCAAAATAATCATAAAGAAATTCACAACATCAATTATATATGAGATTAATATAAACAACTAGAGAGAAAATTAGAAAAACTGACAAACTTGGAGATTGAGACTTGCATAAATACAATGTCTTAAAGACAAAATTTCACCCCTACTCTTGTGCTTGTAGTTCGGTAGGCGTCCGTCTCCTAGGATTCAACAATCTATAATTTGAAGTCAAAGCACTTCAATTTTCGGTCCCTGACGAACTTTATATACTCTGTACTCTCAAGACAATACTTGGAATTTGACTAACCAAGAATAAAAGACCTTAGAGAAAAACTCTTCTCATCGATCTATTAGATATGTGGGATGTTTGAGTTTATATAGAACTCAAGCCACTCCCTTTTGAAACATTGTAACCATTGCCTAAAGTTCCAACGAACAGACGCAACTCATGAATTTGAATTCAACTATGATACATAACTTTTATTTTTCATTCATATAAAAATTAATTATTATAATATTAATTATAATATATAATTTCCAACAATTGTCATTCGCACACTTAGTTTGTCATTTAACACTGTCCATGAGTACCCTAATTAAATCGAACAATCGTATATAGGTTTTCCAACTCCTTTTGGCCTTGTGGCTAAGGAAAAGTTGGCGTAGGTTTTCAAATTGACACCCTGCTGTTAATTCAAAAAAAAATGTCAGATCGTGTAGGGTCCGATGGAGCACAGACAGAAAAGATTGTGGAACTTGATGAGTCTCATTATCGATATGCTTTACAAGTCATAAAAGGCCCGGCGCTAACACTGCGCAATTTTTCGG